CTGATCTGTGTGTTTGACCAGTTGATCGTTGGACAGGTAGGTGCCCCGAGAGCCAGGAGTCCAAAGGACAGGCTTGTGGGAGTGGAGGCCTTTTAGCGGCTCCCACAACTAAATGCAGTCATTACCGGGGAGATTAGAGGTGTGACAGGGAGGGGTATTTGCTGATAAATTCATCCAGATCACAGAACCTTCAGAGAAGGCAATCTGTGAAGACAGCTGAAGAAGGACACAGTCCAACTATAGAGACCTAGCTTTTTTTTTTTTTTTTTAACTTGGAGTTGTAGTTACACGTCAGTGATTTAATAGTGGGATTGTTCTTTTGATAAGCAGCGTATGAAATTGAGGTACCTATTTCACCTTTCTCTTTCTACCTGGCAGACTTTATGGAAAGACAAAAATGTCTTTTAAGTGCTAACTCTGTCCCTGAGAAGGACCGTAGCTAATTACACAGCACAGCTTGCTTTATGTTATCATTGTATGTTTTATTTCCTTTTGGCAGATATGCAGCATGTGTAGGTTAAAGATTCATAAAATGGATCTATTTAATGAAAACTTTGGACTATGCAAAACTGTTTCTACTTCCCAGAAAGGTCCCACATCTTTTATTAGACAACCCCCAGAACGTCAAATGCATTTATCAAATGAGACCTATTGCCAGAATTACATCTTAAATCACAATAAGGTAAAATTTAATCTGTGTTGGAATGTCAGTTCTATCATTTCTTTACATACTAGTGAAACAGCATTTACTAATGCATCACCTAGAAGAACACCAAAAGATGTATCCTGTTTTGGCTACAAGTCTTCTGCTGCAGGAGGTAGCCCGATAAAGGATATTGTCTTGCATCGTTTAAGTAAGTGCAGAGTAAGTGGAATCCACTGCTACATTAGCTAATCTGATGCTTGAATTTGTGCAATTTGAAATCCTAATTAAAGAAAGAAGCAAACTAGAACAATTCAAATCTCAAAAGAATGAGTTTTGTATGTTAGCTTTGTAGCTGTGGCATTCGGGCAACTTAAAAAGTACTAGCGGTTTGTTTCCAATTGTGTGAAGAAGCACATAGCTCCAAGGTATGCTGAGTTTATGCTCAAGTGATAGGTACTTGCAGGAACAGAGTCCCATGTGCTTTTTGCTGCTTTTCTTTTTTACTAACTACAGATGCAAATCATGATTTCTAATCCTATATAAAGTGACTTGTATAGTTACAGTCACACTGGTAATTGTCTTCATAGCTTCTCCCTGCCCTCAAAATCTCCCCGCATACTGATAGGATAAATTTAAAAACCGTACAGTAGTAAGCAGGAACAAGTTTTTCAGCTCTACAAGCCAATAACCTTTGCCCTTCAAGGGCCTGGTGTCTGCTTGGTGTCTACTCCATTGCTCAAAAATCATGTCTGCCACCTTGTTGTTGGCTGCAGACAATTCCTGATATTTAAAGAGAAAAGTCGAAACCAACCAAGCAAATCTAGACTTTTAGATCAATTAAACGTTAGGTTAGAAACTCCTGATTATTTAATGCAATCAACCAGAGGTACACTGTGAAACATTTTATTTTATTTTCCACTTCACCATAATTTAACAACAATGTTCAGTGGTCAGGATTAGAAAAAGATCACACACTTAAAAATTTTGGGTATCTGACAGACTTCTGGAGTGAATTACAGACTTTGAGTAGTGTGTGCCTATTTACTCTTAAAAGAGTTTGGGTTTTTTTCTTTTTTGTTTCTTTTTTCTTTTTCTTTTTTTTTTTTTAAAGGCTGGATAATATTTTCTATTCTATTCTTGGCAAAATCCCTCCTAATATAACATGTTCCTTACTTTTAATTCTATCCAATTCTATTTTCTAAAACCACAATATTTTAAAAGATGAGATAACCAGTGTGGAGTGCAGTACACAATTTATAAATTTTCCTTATTTCATTTTTAAACTATTGTCAGATTCTTCATGTCTTTCACATCACTTTCTGCACATTGGGAACATATGAGGTTATATCAAAAGTTTCCTTTCACTGATGTTTTTCATTCCTTTTCTTTCCTTGATAAATTTGATGAGCCTTCAGTTCTGTCAAGTTCATTCAGCATTTTGCACAATCCCCCATAATTTTGTTTTAGCACTTGTGACTGTAAAATTTTGCTGATTTTATGAATAAATCATTAAGGCACTAAACAACCCTACTTGTAAATGAGTGCTGGAGCATCTAATTATTAAAAACTGCTGTTCTCTGTGACTCAGCTTGGTGTTCTTTAACCAATTTTTAAATCAAGACAAGCCTTTGCTTATTATTTCAGGGCTATTTAATATTTTAAGACTTGAAAATTTTTTGTCAAACCCTAATAAATGTAGTCTGCTGGATGCCTCTGCTATTTCATTATGTTGTGAAAGTGTTCATTCTACAGTGTTAGAGGTTTATGTCTCTCCTTCAGAAGTTGCTTTGCTTTGACTTAAGTGGTGGTTTATTCAGCTGAAATAATCAGTAGGAAGTCAGCTCATCAGAAAACTTCAGTCATAAAGCATCCTCTGAGCCTGCTTTGTGCATCTGAATCATGTTGCCACCACCACCACCTTACCACCTGCATGTTCTTGATGACTACCAGGCTGTCCTGCTACAGACCTCTGTTGTTGAGAGCTCCCTGGAACTCCACCGAGTCATGAAAATGTTTGTCTATTAGTTATTTACCTACCTCTGCTAGTGGCTCTTTCTAGAGATTTGTAGCATAAAGGTGTAACTTCTCTGAGTTTGTGTCTCAGTTCTTAACCTCAGCAACCACAGGGCTTAACAGAGTGGCATACACAGCAATACATCATGGCACAAAGAAGCACATATGGCTATAGCTTATTCCCACAGGAGGAGGCAAATAATGACTTATAAAAGCTACTTAACAATGAAGAAATTTAACCACACTGGACACTGTGATGATGTGTATATATGTAGTTGTGGTTTTTTTTTTCCTAAAAGACAGCTTCCTTTTTTTCTCTAGTTATGCATCTAAGTGAAATGACAGTCTCTTACCTCATTTTAGATCTAGAAAAGATGTGCTATGTTAGCAGGAAAAAGCTGACTTACGTGAACTCTCCCAAGGTAACACTGTAATGAAATCAAGGTCAGAGAGCTGCGTAACTTCATCACCTGCACCTTCACATACCTTCTGCTATATACAAGTTTTTCACTAGCTACTGTTTAAATAATAAAACTTTTGCCCCACCCAGGTTCATTAATTTAACTGTCAACAATTGAGCTCTCTTTCTGGTAACCCCTCCCTCTTGATTTTTTGTTTTGTTTTGTTTTTTGTTTAGTACTTTGTAAAAGAATGCCTAGCTCCGAAAGGGTATGAACAATTTCATTTTGCATTTTACGTTCAGACTTCTCAGCCTTCCTCTAGCTGCTCCTCCATGGGATAAGGTTTGGCTTTCAGAAAAAACTGATGAAGTCCATCAGCTGATCCCCTGTATCATGTTATAACACTGTATTTAATTTCCAGAACCTACTTTCTGCATTTACTAGCATCTCTTTTGAAAACGTAATATTGTCCTTCTGTGAAGCAGCTGTTTTAATATTAGATTAATTAAATTAATTGACAAAGTTCTGCCGACCCATGGTACTGTTGGGGTTTTGGCCACTCCATGACCTGATGCCTCCTGGTGCAGCAAGTCAGCTTACCCTGCAGTTTCTGGAGCTGGACTGCAGGGCAGGTTGTGTGCGGTTCCTCCATCTAACACACGTGCCCCTCCCGGAGACACCCTGCTGCAGCTCAGACAGCCCCTCTCGATTTCCTTCAGATGTCAAGCAATGAGCACATGGCACCGTGCTCAGTCATGCCACGGCGCAATGCAAAGTGACAGAGCCCAAGGACGGGAGATGGCCTTCGGGGACAGCCAGGGCGCTGGTGCTCAGCACAGCCACACTTCACTGGCTCCTGTTTATGTCAGTAATGTGGCAAAACTGGCCCGACCCTTGTGATTACAGCTCCTCTGAAGCAGGGGGACGGACTCACTGACCTCTCAAGTCCTGTTCACACGTACCTCTCTAAACTGCCTTACTGTGGTACATGCTATTTGTTTTGCATCCCCAGCTGGCCAGCTGTATTTCACATGCACTGTAGCCCCTCTACTACAGAGGGATCTCCCTACCAACAGTAAAGCCCCCTAAAACACTCCTAAACCCACTTTCTGTCTAACAACTACTGCTTGGCTCCCTACACTGCGTTTTGGAAGGTGGCGAATAAGGCAAGCCAACTGTTTAATGTCTGTGAGACAGAGGAGGAGAGAAGTTCACTGTTTTGTTATGGTGGGTGGCAGGCAAGAACTGAGCCTCCTGCTGGGGTTATTTTATTTTTTTTCCCCCTCTTCCTTGCAGATAAGGGAGAGGAATAGTTCAATTAAATGACATGCATGTTCAATTAAATGACACGGTATCAGCCATTTCAGAAAATTAGCAAATGGTTAGTGGTAATGTTGTCTGTCATTTCTGATCTCTAGGTTTATGTGGGCTAGATTCCTCCAACTCTCATTTAACTGAGAATTACACCACCGAGTGGTTCCACTGAGTTTACTCCTCCCACAGTGGGGAAGCTGCTGGAGGGATGTAGGAATGTGGAATCTACCCCAGAGATGGTGGGTGAATCCCGCAGGAGAGGAAGCTGAGCTCAGGTTTTGGGTGTGAAGCACTCTGTGTTGCTGCTGCCAAGTGAACAGAGCTCTCTTCTCCTTCCGCAGATCAAAGACCACTATACCCTTCAGCAACAGCATGCACGTTTTTAAAACACAATAAATATCCAGAAATGCAGGCCAGACCCAAACCTCACTCATCACAAATTAATTTTGGAAGTTAACTTTAAAGTGCTTTTAGCTCTCAGTAAGATTTTTGCTGTGTGGGTTCCAGTTAAACAGTGGAAAAATTATTGAGAATTTCTGGTGCTGTATTTTAACCAATCAAAGGACCCCAGGACTTGGGTTAAGCATGTTTCTTTTCTTGTAAATATAACTCAACACAGCTTTCTCTCACCATGCATGTACGCTAACAGCCTTTAAGTTACTGTAGCAGTTTGCAGCACCAGCTAAATAGGAGTCTGTCCTAAAGGCACAGACTAGGAGGAGAAAAGACTCAGCGGTGCCGGTGATGGAAAAGAAGGGTTGCACAACGTTACTCACCACCAGAGGAATGGAGCAGATCACCACCACCAGGGAAGTGGCAATAAGCAGAATAACCATCTGGATCTCTGCTCCGGCCATCCGACGGAAGCTCCGGCGTCTGCGAAAGTCAGATAAACGGCTGGAAGTGGTGTCTGTCCCCAAGGATGTGCGTCTCATGAACTGGCGGTGCATGCGAATGAGGGCCACGCACACCAGGATGTTGCAGATCACAGTGACCATGATCAGGAAGGAGCTGAAGCCGGCGTACATGTAGGAATATGCTGCATGGATGGCCTCCTTCGCTCGCCAGTCTATGAAACACCAAGTGTAAGGGTACTGCAAGGTAGATTTGCCAAGCCCCATGCTGGGGAGGGCGCAGAACAGCACGTTGGAAGCATAGATGGCAAAGAGCGTGAGCCCTGCCAGCTTCTTGTCTACGTAATGGTTGTAGAAATAGGCATGGTTGATGGCAAGGTACCTCTCTATAGACATGGCGCAGATAATGCTGAGGCCAGAGAGTCCGAAGAAGAGGAGGATGAAGGAGCTGTACTCACACAACGCCGGTCCTCCCGGCCAGCGGTTCTGCAGGTAAGTGGCGATGGTGACTGGACTCACCAGGCAGGTCCCCAAGAGATCAGTGACCGCCAGCCCGCAGACCAGCGTGTAGAAAGTGGTCTCCTTCTGCTCCTTCCTGGACTTGCAGAGCACCACGATGGCTATGAGGTTGCCCACCACGCCAAAGATAAACATGACGGTGGGGATGGTGGGGGGCTTCCCACCTTCGGCCCCGCTGGCTTGCCCGTTGGCAGAGCCATTTGCAGGTGGCATGATGGTGGGGTCGAAGGACATGATGCCCATGCTGCTGCTTGAGAGTAGGGAAGGCAAGAGTGGGTCCAAAAAGGAAAGGCGGAGGAAGGAAGGGAGAGTCTAGCGTGAAAATAAAAATTCAAATGAGAGAGAAGGTA